CACTCTCACAATACTCTCAACTGGACTAACAGTACTCTCAGTAATACCTCAATACTCTCATGGTATTCTTATCACTCTCAGAATACTCACAATATTTATACAATACTCTCACCATACTCTCAACTGGACTAACAGTACTCTTCAGTACTACCTCAATGCTCTCACAGTATTCTCATCACTCTCACAATACTCTCAACTGGACCAACAGTACTCTCAGTAATACCTCAATACTCACGTATTCTTATCACTCTCACAATGCTCTCACAATACTTATACAATACTCCTACGATACTCTCACCAAACCCTCAACTGAACTAACAGTACTCTTCAGCACTACCTCAACGCTCTCACGGTATTCTGATCACTCTCACAATACTCTCACCATACTCCTGCGGTCAGGGTCCTCCTCCGATCCTCTCCAACGAGCAGGTGAGTCGGACTTCATTCGAACCGGCAACCTCCCAGCCACAGGCGCAGATCCCGAGCCCCCAGAGCCAGCGCCACGCCTGCCCGGCTCGATCTTACACTGGAAATGGGAGAGAACCCTAACCTGTCAGTGAGGCGGAGTCATTCAAAGAAAAAAAAAAACCCCTTAGAAAAACAAACAGATTTCTCAAAAAGATGCGTCATAATTATCGGCACCCCCCGGACTGAGCCCGTTGTGCAGCCTCCCTTTGCCAAGATAACAGCAGTTATCATGCTGGGTGAGGTGGGAGAACACACACATACAGGGCCCCGAGACCGCTCCTCCGTACAGATCCTCTCCAGTCCTCGCCCGTGGACTCTCCTCTTCAGCTCAGCCCGCAGGTGTCCAGTGGGGTTTCTGGGACGGCCCAAGGCAAGAGCTTGATTCTGAGGCCGGTGAACCCTCTCTGTGTGGACCTGGAGGTACGGTATGATCCTGACCGCCGTCCTGCCGGAAGATCCAACCCAACGCGGCCCGGTCCCGGCCCCCCTGGCAGGGGCGGCCAGGTTTCCACTCCGAAATCTCCCGGCAGGCGATGGAGCCCACCGCGATGCCGTGCATCCCGACGAGATTCCCGGG